CACGACAGTTCTGCATTTCGCGACGACAACAAACAAGAAGTCACAAGCGAACCAAATTGAGAAGTCACAAGCGAACCCCAGGAGAAGTCACAAGCGAACCCTCTACCCAACAAAAAGCGCAGCAAGAGCTGGGCAAATCCGGAGGAGCTGGCAGTTGGTCGTGGGAAAACGATGAGCTTTGAAAATGTGGAATACGAGAACGTAGAGGATGCAGTCAAGTTTCTGGATGAGCCACTGAGCACAACGACAGAAGATGCCTACAGTTTGATTTGTCGCCGGTGAAGTCTAGCCTGAGGACTGCCTGAGGTATGTTTCAAAAAATCCGGTCGACATCGTTGTGGGATTCTCCCAAAGCGGCACATTGCTGGCCATCCTCATGAACACTCTCCGCAAGGTATCTGCTTGCTTTCGTCTTGATCAGAGTTACCTTACGACTTGCTTCGTGCACAAGATACGCGCAAGATCAAAGTATCATGTCAACACTTTCAGGCAAATCGACCGATTCCCTGGCTCTTCACCGCGACTGTGTCAGCAAGCCTTGCAGATTCATTGATTGTTATGTTCCGCACTGATTATGGAAAAGCCAAGTGTTGTGCATCCAGGTTTTGTTTTGTGGTGCGATGATCGATGATGCTCGCATCTAGCCTGAACCTACCGTGAACACAAATTTGAACTTGAAAATTCAATTCAACTCTTGAAGAAGAGAGTAGCTCTTTCAGAAGTGTTTTACTGTCAGAATTCCAGGCTACGCATTGGAGGAGCCTTTGGCCATGCCCGCGCTGCAACCGGGCGGCACTCGGCTTTGCGCGTTGTGAAGCAGCGATTTCCTTTCACAGCAACAGCAGGTACGTTCATGGTGGCGATGCAGATCCGTGGGGACGCCATGGAGAGCGCTGCCTACCATCAATGTACTCCAACCTAGAGATGACGCTCATCATATCTTATCATGGAAAGCAATCAACACAGCAACGGACAGAGGCAACGCATCTGCTTGAAAGTCTGCTTGTGGTTCACACCAAGGCTTGAGCACTCCGATGGGCACTCCTTCCCTTCCTCAGCGCCAAGGGCCTTGGAGATCTACCAGCACGTGGTGCAGCGAATGAGCCTTGCTGACTATTTGTCTGCTACGTCTCCTATGTGTTTTCAGCAGGTTGCCGTCGCGTGCTGCCCAGGTATGCAGCCATGCTGAAGTTGGCCTCTGAACCCAGCGAGGGTCAAAACAGATAAAAGGTCTTAGTGCCAACCTGCCTTAGAAATTTCATGGCAAAGATTCCTTCGCCTGTTTCTGCAGGAGAGCATCGCCAAGAGCAAGGGCTACAAGGCACGCCGGCAAATGGAGTGTGGTGTACGGTTCAGAGAAGAAACCGCACACAGGTGGTGAAGCTCTCAGGCACCGAATTCCGCCGACGTCTCCGAGCGGGTGAGGCTCTGGGGCCGCTTGTTGAAGAGACAGTTTACGCGCTGCCTTGCGCGTTTTTGCTCATGGGACTTCATGGTGTTGCTGGGTCAGGACATCCCAGAATGGTTCGCTTTCAAGTCGGTGGCTGCCACCTTAGAGTTGATAAAAAGTGCCGGCGGTGCTGATTTACGGGCCGATTTACGGTCCGATTTACGGTTGTGAGTGGTGTCTTCCAGGTGGACATCCTCCGCAAGGCTGGCGACAGCGCCTTCTGTGCGTAAGGCCATGCCCCCACAGCCTGCCATGCATGTCACAGCTTAGGCGCTTGCTATCTCATCCTTTTTTTTTGTGAGGAAGTGCCATGGCGAGTGCAACTTGCGTCTTTGCAGCGAGGCTGATCCGCGACCAAACCCTTCCTTTTCGCACTTCTGTCTCTTCTGAGGCTGTGCACAATACTGAGACTTTCAACTCACGCGTGGTTTCCCAAACCTTATCAACTGGATACGGAAAGAATGTTGGATGCTTTTTTCGTTGAGATCCTTCGGAATCACGCGGGGTATATCCATAGCAGCCAGCCCATTTAAATCACGGCCAGCATCGTGGTCTTGGTCCTCTGAGCCTCAAGGCGCTCAGATGGTCTTATGACCATGATAAAAGTCTATCATGAAGATGTAGGATGAGCACAAGAAAAGCGGAGCGATCGTGTTGACGTTCGCACAAAAAGGAAGCGTACAGTACCCAGTGTGGCAGCACGAAGTTGCCATGCCATACCTGAGTCATGCTGTTGGCCTTCTGCCGTCCACTCCGCGAATTGTGCGCTTTAGTCTCTTTAGTCTCATCCCAGACTGCCCAAGGACTTGACGAGGAGCGTGAATCAATGTACTCTAATGTTTTGCGTTGATCAGCCTTTCTTCACGGTACTGGGCGACAGCAATGCGAGGGTTGACTTTGACCGTCCGTGATAAAACGCAATATCACATCACATGCTCTAGTGAAGTGGTCTCGTTTGCTGTTCAAGTATTGCCTAGTACGCACAACGTTGCGTCATGGAAGATCAAGCATTCCTTTGTAGGCCTGAGCCAGATGGGGATCAATCAGCCTCTACGTATTTGATATTAACCTGAGTTGGAAAACGTCTTCGTCAAAACCTATTCACGCATTCCCTGGGCAACGATTTTACCTTTTCCCGCATATGGCATTTAGCCCCGCTTTGCACAGTGGCATTGGCCAGCCGAATCCCAATTCGCCGCGAGAAATGCGCATGGTTCAGCAGGTGTATGCAACGTTGCAGGTAGCTTGCTGCAAGCTCGTTCCCAGCCGGTCTGAAGTAACAAGCCGTGTGCATTTTGGCTGGGCTCGGGCTCAGTGGGTGAGCTCGGCCAACCATGGATGGCCGGTAGGAGCCTCAACATGTCAATGGTCTATTAAGACATGAATTCTGGGCATTCGTAACGTGTACGATGCAATCATGGTTTTGAAGGCCGCATGGTGACCGTCTTCGTTCGGCCACAGAATCGTAGAGTAACTCTGTAGTCGGAAAGAGAGCAGGCTTCTTCGAGGTCAGAGACTGGCTTGATCTGGCTTGGATAGTGGCAAAGGAGGAAAGCACAGATTTGTGGAAACCCTTTGGCAGAGCCAAGAATGAAAGACAAGCATGGCGCCTAGCCCGTGCTCTGACCAACAGGTGAGCCTCGAGCCCTGACAGGTAGAGGAAGGCGGTCCAATCTGCGGATTGTGAGAGAATAGCTTTGAGCATTGAACGGAGAAAGAGGGTTTGGGGTGCCGAAGGTGGTCTTGAGCAACTGCGGAAATGGCCACGTGTTGGATTGTGAGGTCTCAAGGCATTGCAATTTTTTGTGGCTACACAGGAAGGGGTTGTGAAGTCCGAATCCGAGTGCCCATCATGCGAAGTGGCCTGAAGAATCTAAGGACCACAAAGAGTCAGAGTCTCTGCAGGGAGCTCAGACCGCAGCTTGCATCGTCTACCCAGGCCTTAGCCTCGCTATGCCTCGCTATGCCTCGTTGCATCTGAGTTCTTATGACCCGAAACCTCTGGAACTACGCAACAAGACACCGCTTTGAACAGTTGAACACAGAATGTCTCCTTTTTTGGGGTCACGCCAACTCTGGTTTTTATATCTGTTGTGGCAGGCTGTAACTTCGCAAAGTACAGAGCCGGATCTTTTGCATGATCGATATGTTACTATGTATCTCTTTGAGAGCTTAGTGGCGCTGGGTTGCAGCTCATTTGGAGCCAGGTAAGCAGTTGGTTAGTTCCAGATGTGAGATGGGCGAATGCGGTCCTAGCGGTATTGATCAGTTGTTTTTTTGAAGCAGATGACAGGCAATTCTCAAAGGGCTGTAGTTTTTCACGATTGTTCACTGAGGTAGCGGCTCTGACCCGTGAAGTTCAAGGTGCCTGCAAGGCAAGGCAGAAGCTGGAAGCCGACAGCTGTTACAGCTCGGGGAATGCTCGGGGAAGTCAGGCGAATGGCAGGGGCTGGCAGTATGGGATCTCGCCTCAGCGCTTCGGTCATGGTCTGCTTGCTATCCACCCTGTCGATTTCTAGTGCTCAGCCAGAAGCTACATTTGACTTGTGAGCACATGGCAGCTTGCAGAGATAGTATAGATAGCAGAGGGAGTCTCCCAAGCGTTTGTAGAGTGAGACCAGCCAAGCGCATACAGCAGCAAGAATTACTTTTCGCAACCTCGTCCAGCTTGCGCAAGATGCGTTTAAACATGCAGTGAGGTATTAACATGAAGGCGCTGGTGAGATTGTTGAAGCGAGAATCGCGGAAGCAGGGGTCCATGCACGTTCAGAACACGTCTGCTTAAAACAGGGGCTCAGCAAGCATCCACCGTTGTGGTACCTCGTTGGAGCTTGTGCCGTCCATCCTAGTGGCCTCGCTCCCTGCGCGACGTCTCGCGCCAGGTCACCGGTGGAATGTAAAAACGAGCCCCTGCGCATCCCTGCGCCCACCTGTCAGTTCAACCGTTCAACCCCAGATTCCCATCATCTCCTACCCTAAAGCGGTGAGGGTGTACTGCCCCGCATAGGAAGCATTGAAGGACCGTAGGAAGTGCTCTGTTTGTGGAGAAGGTCCGAAAGCGAAAGGCAAGCTGTGCCCAGCTGTTGATGTAGAGTAGGGTCCAGTGCTCGCAACCACAACAGCGACCTCTAAGGTTGCAGCTTGTGTTTGGAGAGCTGGAAAGTCCTGAGGCTGGTCAAGATCTTAAAGCCGCTTGCTCGTGTGATCCAACTTGAGTGACTCCAGTGCAGGTCGATGCGAGGCCTGGCCTTGCATTACCATGATGCTGGCCTTAGAGCACGCAGCGATATGTTGAAACGAAGAATGTGAAGTGTACATGCATGGAAGTTTCATGTTGCCTTCTATTCTGCCTTGGCTTTTCTACAGGCAGGTGGACACCAAATTCCTTTCGGCAGGTGCCGCCGGCAGGGAGAACTCTTTATGTGCAAAGGAGGAAGCACATTACGTGCCCGAGGCCTTGGTGCATGTGCTGCCGGAGCACGCTGGCAGGAAAGCATTTCTTGAACGTATATTTCTTGGATGTCGTTCTTTTGGAGGAGACGTTGCAGATCCTGAGATACCTACATGATACCGGCCTTGGCTTGTGAGCAGCTTATGGCAGCTTCTCATGTGGCCCCTTCCACCTCTCCCAGAACCTCTCCTTCCTAGGCCTAATGCTGTGGGCCGCAGCGCAGCAATTGCAGCTCTGCTCCGCGCTGCCCAGTGGCGTGAGGCCATCATCCTGAATCTCCTTCTTGAGAGCAGTTTCAGCCCAGCCCGGCCATGCTGAACCATCTAGGGGGATCTCAGTGCAGGCCATCTTCTTGTTTGGCAAGTTCCAGATAGAGTTGGAGGCACGGACTGCTGTAGCGGTAGCGTATCACCTTTCCTCAGACGAGCCCCCACAAGGCTATCTGTCAATCTGCCGAACCCATCTCGGTCGGGGCAGCCATCCATGCATGCGCTGAGGGACACGGGAACACGCGCTTACCACGGTTTCTGAAAGAGTGCAGCCCTGTCCACTTCTTTTGAGGATCTCACTGGCAGGGGGCAGTCCTCTTGTTCAACCAAGTGCGGTTCTGCAAGGACGGCCTCACGCCGGATCCATCATAGTTGCGCAAGTTGAAGCGCAAGGAAGTCCTCCAAAGCATAAGTTGCTGAAGGATGAGCTACAAGCACGTCTTCCTCATCGCTCTCTGTTGATCTGTGCCTCGCCGGCAGGTAGAGCAGGGGTGAGTCCTCATGGTGTGGTCAAGCCTTGCTGCTGGGCAAGCTGAAGTCACCAAAGAATGCCTACATGCGTCTGCATCGAGGCCGCAATGCTGCAATTACAGCCTGTGGGCGTGCTTCACGTACCTCAGCAAGAGCATGGGCATTCGGAATCAGTTGCACTTCGTACTCGCCAGAATCCTGAGTCATAGCTTGGAGGCTGTGTTTGTGAATTTTCACAGCAGGAACTGACAAAAGCTTATTGTATCTTATTGTAGACCTTGCTCTCAAGCGAGGCTGGGATTGGGCCCTTCGAACTTTCTTCGCACTCCGCGGCGCCGACGACATCGGCTGCAGCGCCGAGGGTTGCATCCGAGAAAACTCAGAAGGGAGGCAGCGATGTCCAGGAGATCTCGTCACGTCCGCCAAGGTGCCATCATCAACGCCTGTCAGCAAGCATCTCAGTGGGAACAGGCTGGCAATTGTCAAGCTTGCCACAGCTTGCCAGAGCTTAAGCAAGGCGTTGAAAGCCTGAGAGTGCTTCGTAGTTTGCATCACTTTTGCATCCGTTTGCATCTTGACGGCTATGCTGATAGGCTGTGCACCTGCTTCATTTTGCGCCGAGAGGCTGGACAGCTTCTGCACTACTGCAAACTCAAATATAGCTTTATAGCGTCATGATGCAGCCAGCAGAGCAACTGTGCTAAATTGCCACAAGGTCGCGGTCGCGATGCAGCCGTTACTGTAACAGCCACAGTGATACTGCAGTTCTACTCACAGTCGTTGATGTCTTTTCGCTTCGGCACCGTCTCTGCAACTCCAGGCAGCGATCGCAGCTTGTGATCGATCGTCGCACCCGCCTTAGAGTAGATGTTACTGCAAAGTCGCCGCCATCAGCATTCAAGAAGCATTCAACATCCTTCGACATATCAAAACATCTGTTCCTTGGCATCAAGGCCTGTCAACAGAGAGAGAGCTTGTTGTGTATGCCATATGCCTTGCTGGCTGGCTGTTCCCTGCCAAGGCGATGGGCGGCTGCAAT